TATTTTTTTTTTTTTTTTTTTTTTTTTTTTATATTATTTTTATACATATATAATATATAATTTATAATATATATATATATATTGTTTATTATGGATTCCCAAAATTATTTTGAGGAGACATTGTTGTTTGTAGAAATAGAAAGAAATAATAATGAGAAAACAGAATTTTATTTAGATTATATTAGTAGATGTTTTAATTATTTATTGAAGCAAAGTGACAGTTATATAATTACTACATTAAAAAGGAATGACTCATTGATTTCTTTTTTTTTTTCTTATTTATTAAAAGCAGATAGACCTTATGATTTACGTTTTGATAATTTAATAAAAAGGGAGTTTAATATTTTAGATAATTATGTATTAGAATTTTATTTAAAATTATTTGAAGTATTTTTAAAAAAGGATAATAAAGAAACAACCATAATTAAATCTACATTTTTGAAAATGCATATATTAATGGATATAATTATGATACTTTATAAATTAAATAAAAAAAAAATTAAAGAGCTATTAAATAATACATATAATATAACCAAATTCAATTTTTTGAATATAAGTAATTATATAACATTTTTATATAAAGAAATAAAGAATGTCAAGAAAAAAATAGAAAATTATAAAATAAACAAAAATAATTTGAGTTATTTGTTATTTGATATAAATGAATTCATTTTTTGTGTTTATTGTTTTTCAAAATTTTTTAAAAAATATCACATTTTTGATATTAATGAAAATAAATTAATTATTGTTAAATTATTTTTGTATAATGAAAATGAGGAAAATAAGGAAAATGACGAAAATAAGGAAAATGATGAAAATAAGGAAAATAATGAAAATGAGGAAAATAAGGAAAAATTAATTAATCCTTCTAATTTTAAAGATGATTGTTCCTTTCTTTATATATTTATACAAATATATTTTGATATGGTAATATTTTATATATGTTAGTTTTTTTATTTTTTTTTTTATTTTAAAATGTATATAAAGTATTCATATAATTTTCATAATGTTATGCATAAGTGGATAATTCTATGATTATATATTATATTAATAATAATAAAAATTTATATTTTTTTAATTTTTTTTTTTTTTTTTTTTTTTTTATAGATTAATATTATATATAATGACAATTTAAAAGATGGTTGCAAAAAAAGTATTTTATTTTTGAGATATCGATTTATAAAAGTTTTGAAAATTTTCATAAAATATAATTTATTATATGGTGATAAAAGAAATAATATTTTACATTTATCTATATTAATAGATTTATTAAAAGAAAAAAGTAATGAAATTAATATATATTTTTTAAGAAATGATATATATTTAAGTAATTGGCATTTTTTAGAATATCTTGTTTTAAAAAACATATTAGATTTTCAACTTTATTCTTATATAAATAATTTTTTAAAAATCAAAAGCAAAAATGATGAAGAACAATTGATAAAACTAAAGTATGAAAATGAAATTAAGCAAATCAAAGAAATAACTAACATTAAAAATGAAAATATTATTTTAAAATTCTTAAAAAAAAATAATTTAAATTTATCTAATTGTGTAGAAGAAATTTTGCAATTGAATGAAAAAGAAATTAATGATCTACAAAGTATGATAAGTGAAGATGAGGTTGAAAATGATAATGATATTGAGAATAACAATGAAATTGATAGTAATAATGAAATTGATAGCAATAATGAAAATGATAGCAATAATGAAAATGATAGCAATAATGAAAATGAACATAAACAAGGAAAACTTTATTCAATCAAAGAAGATACTACATCTATAGTTAAAGATAATAAAAAAAATATTATAGAAATATTAAGAGATAATAAATTAAAAAAAAATCCTTATATAAAGAAAAACATTAAATACAAATATACAAATGATTCATTAGATAAAGAAAATAAAAATAAAATTCTAAATTTATTAGATTGTTCAAGTGGATCTCATGAATTGTCAGATAATTCATATGGAAGTTTTGAAAATGAAGTTATTTTCTCTAATTCATATAAAAATAACCATGCGAATAACACTGAAGAAGAAATTGAAAATGATAATGAAAAAAAAAACAAATTTCATAAAAATAATTTAGTTAATCAATTTTATTGGCATAAATCAAAAGAAAATTTAACCCCTACTAAAAAAGAAGACACAAAAAAAAACAATAATAAAAATGATAATGGTAAAATACATGTTTATGATATATATATATATATATATATATATATATATATATTTATTTATGAGGAAAATTTTATATTTTTTTTTTTTTGTTATATATATCTTTATTATTTATTTTTTAGAAAAAATGAAAAGCTATTATTCCAAAAAAAGGGTTAACAAAGGAAGATCTCATAGAAATCAGTAAAAAAAAAAAAAAAAAAAAAATTTTATAAAAAAAAAAGTCTAATGATTCGTATTACAAAAGAATAAAGCTTTAGAATTTTGATAACCTTATTATATCTATATTTTTTTTTATTTTATTTTAGGTATGACAAAAAAATGAGTAAAGGAATGTTCTAAAATGAAAAAATTGTATTTAAATATCTAGTTAATTTTTTATTTAAATTTTGTAAAAAATTACGAAAAATATTTAAATATTTTTTTATAGCATTTTTTTTTCTTTTTTATTTATATATTTAAAAATAAAAATGGCTAAAAAAATGCATTTAAAAAAAAAAAAAAAAAAATTATATATTTCTTTCATAATTTTATTAAAAATCTTATTATTTCTACATAACTATTTTTTATTTTATTTTATTTTTTATTTTTATTTCACATAGTTTATTTAATGTGTATATATAAAAGAAAATAAAACTTATATGAAATCATTTATATATATATAAAAAAAAAAAAAAAAAAAACAATGAATTATCTAATGATATAATCATATAATATTTTTAATTAACAACATTTTTTTCATAAAAATATATTATTTTAAATATATTTTATAATTAAGTTAATGACAAAATTATTTTTAATTTTGATTACCATTTCGTTGCAACAATGCATTTAATGCTAAAATTTATAAACAAAAGAATATATATATTTAATTAAAAAAAAAAAAAAAAAAAAAATTATATTCATTTGAATATAATTTTTTAAGTCTACCTGATAAATGTTTCTTTGCTATTTTTTTTTTTTTTTAATAAGTTTCACATTAAATCAGTAATTTCATTTTCTTTTTTTAAATCACTATGTATGTTATTATTTAAGAAATCGATATGTTTTTTTAAGGTAATAATATTTTGACTTAATTGTTCTTTTTCTGAATTAAAAATTTCAAATGAGTTTTTATATTTATTTAAATCTTTTTTATAATTGATACATATATTTTTGTAGTAAATAAGTGTTTTTATTAATAATATTTTTTCATCTAACAATTCTTTTAATTCTTCAAGAAATTTCGTTGAATCATTATTTTCTAAAAGTTTTTTGTATTTCTTTAACAATTTTTCATTCTGTTTTTCCAAGTTTATATTATCATCAAGATATTTATTTATAATAACTGAATTTTTTTCGAAAAAGTTATATTCATCATAAGTTTGTTTATCCATATTTACTGTAGGTGTAGTTAATTCATCATTACAAGTATCTTTAAGATTATCAACATTGTTTATTTTTTTCTCATTGGAAATACTATTCTTTTTTAAAAATGACTTTGATGTTTTTTTTAGAACATTTGATACCTTATCATAACTTTTATGAAAATAAGATTGTAACATTAATGTATTTAATTTTGCTTTTACTTTTTTCTTTTTATGTGAATCGTTTTTATTAGATATATTTAGACTACTTTTTCTTGATATATTATCATCACTTTCATATAATTTATGAAACTCTACATTTTCTGTATTATCTTTTTTTGAAATATTTTCTTCTAAGTTTTCATCATCATTACTTTTTTCAATTGTTTCTGTTTTTATTTCATCTATATTTTCTCCCATTTTCTCTTTATCATCATTTTCTAATTCTAATTTTATTCCATTTTTCTTTTTTTTTTTCTTTTTTTCGTTAATATTAACTGGCTTTAAAATGGTTCCTAAATTGATTAAATTTTTTTCATTTTTATCAACGTTTTCTGAATCCATATTTTTATTACATAAATGGAAATAAATTCGATAAAAAAAAAAAAAAAAAAAATTATTTAAAACAAATTAATTTTATGTAATTTTCACAATTTAATTTTGGCAACAAAATAACAAAACAATAAAATATATATAATTAAAATAATATAAATATTTATATAATTTCACTAAATTCTAAATATTATATATATATATATATTTTTTTAGTTTTAAAATTACAAAAAAGAAAGATATAAAAAATACACATAATATATGTATTTAAATAATTGTTAATCGTCACATCAAAAAAAAGCAAAACTTACCTTTTATGAACGCTCCTATCTAAAATTAACAAAAACAAAAATAAGTACAAAAAATAAAAAAAAAAAAAAAAAAAAATTCTAATTTTCTTAAAATTCCATATATAAATTTTATTAAATAATTAAAATTTCTTTTATTTTTTTTTCTTTAAATTTTTAATCATTTTAATGTAGCAATTTATTATTTTTTTTTTTTTTCTCTTGAATTATTTCATAAAAAAAATTAATTAAAATTAATATAAAAAAAACTAAAAAAATTAGTATAAAAATGTATTATCATATCCTTAAAAAATTAAAATATAAAATATAGAAATAAATATTTCTTAGTAAAAAAAAATAAAAAAAAAAATATATATATATTTAATAAAAGTAAAAACTTAAATTATTTAAAATTTAGAATTATATTTAGTAAATTGAAAATAAATGCATATATATTTATGCAAAGAGGTAAATATAAATACTTTTCAACATCATGAATTAAATTAAAAATTTGTTATTACTATAAATAATTTCTTTATAATAAAAAATTAAAAAAAAAATAAAATGTATTATAATCATCATTATCAAAATTTTTTTTCTATTTTTTCTTTTTACACCAAATGACCATAGAAGAAATATGCTGATGATAATCCAATCATAATACTTAAGAATATATATGGATTGAAAGTCATAACAATTAGCATCAATAAATAATCAATTGCATAATTTAAAAAGGACAATAATCCATAAATAAAATCTTTATTTCTAAATATTTTTAAGAGAAAATGTTTTTCTTCCACATCCTCACTATTCTTTTTGTCAAATCCTTTTTTTATCATTTTTATATATATAGATGAGAATCCCATTAATATACATAAAATATTCAAAAAAACAAATTGATATACATTCTTTACTTGAAAGTAGTCAAATAAAAATTTTATATTTATATTATTTGAAAAATACATTGGAAGCAGAAGACCATCTTTATTATATTCGCTATGACAACTGCTACTTACAAATTGAAAATTAGATAAAATATAAATAATAACAATTGTACATAAACTGTATTTCGAATATTTTCCTACCATTTTTAACTTTATTTTATTATAATTATTTTATTTTTTTTTTTTTTTTTTTTTTTTTTTTTTGTATTTATGTATATTCAATTCTTATTAATATTTTAATATAAATGTTTTTCCATGAAATAATGAAAATTATCTTTTTATTTAATAAAAAAAAATTTTATATATTATTTAAAATTTTAAATCATATATACATATATATTTATATATTTCTTTTTAAATATTAATATTAAAAAAAAAAAATAAATAAATAACACATATTCATTTTTTTTCAATTTTTATAAAATGAATATATAAATTTTCATTTTATTATTTACAAAATTTATAAAATTTTTTTTTTTTTAAAGTTTATTTTTAAAATTTATTTAAATTAATTTTAATACATAAAACATCACTATTGCAAAAACATTGCATTTATTCGTTATTTATTCAAATTATTTTTACAATATTTTTTTTTTTTTTTTTTTTTTGCTCAATCGACTATTTCACTTTTAGGTATCAAACCACTTTCTCTTGCTTTTCTAATTTTTTCATATAATTCCTTACGTTGCTTCTTTAATTAAAAAAAAAAAAAAAATAAAATAAAATAAAATACAAATATTTTATTATTAAAATACTAAAAATATAATAATATAAATATACACATTTATTTTATTTTTAGTTTTTTCAATATTAATATTATATATCCACATGTAAAATTATAGAATTATAATTTATATTAAAATTTTTTTTCTTCTTTTACTTCTTTTCTTATATAATGTTTATATGAGTAATGCACTGCATCATTCCACATATGAATAAAAGAATAGCCTTAAAAAAAAAAAAAAAAAAAATTATAATAAAAGAAATACATTATATTTCTCATTATGATAAAAAAAATATGTATGCTTATATATGCTATTATTTTTTTTTATTATATTTAAAATTTCTTTTTCATGAATTATTCTTGTTTTGTAATCTATATAAGAAAAAAAAAAAAAAAAAAAAATTCATACCTAAATAAATTGTTAAGCCAACTAAAGAATATGCAGTAGTTGTATGCAAAAAAGTATAAATTTTCTCTTTCTTAACATAAAAAGAGTAATAATTTAACTTAAAAAATTTAAAAAATTCAAATTTTACTCCCATTATGAATCATGTTTTTATAAAATAATTAATTCTTTATGTTAAACTTTTTTTTTTTT